CCGCAGCTCCTCGGGGGTCCCGCAGCTCCTCGGGGGTTCCGCAGCTCCTCGGGGGTCCCGCAGCTCCTTAGGGGTCCCGCAGCCCCTCGGGGGTCCCACAGTTCCTCGGGGGTCCCGCAGCTCCTCGCTCCCCCTCAGCTGCGGGAGCTTTCCCCGACAGCCGGGATGAAAAACGGGCTCGTTCCAGCGGCATTCCCGGGGCCGAGGCAGCTCCAGCGAGCTCCTTGCAGGGGCCATAAACCCGGAGATATTTCCTCATTCCCGAGGGCTGGATCCGCAATTTTATGTCTGGATTAATTTTAACTAATCCTGAGCAGTGCGGGGACTCTGCCATGGAGAGCAGCTCAGTCCCCCTGGGTGTTTTTTTTTATTTTTAATGAAAATGTGGAGGGTTTTGAATGCAGCAGCTCTGGTCATGCCTGTGACAGTTGGGGGGATTTTGGGGAATGTCCCACACCCCAAAGCAGGGCAGCTCCTTCTGCCCCTCCAACACTTCCCCTTCCACCCCGAGTGAAAACCGCAGCTCCGGGAAGAGCAGATTTTGGGGAGCCCTCCGACCTCCAAACCTGCTCCGTTCCAGGAGAAAATCCCAGGAACCACCCAGGAAGAGATTTCCCAGGATTTCAGCAGCTCCTCACCCCTCCTGAGAACCCAGCCCCAAACCGGGACTCCTGGACCACCCTGAGCCCTTTAACCAGGGGCTGAATCTGCTTTGAAGGGACTGACTTGGGGTAGGAAGGGATCCCTGCTCTCCTGCCGGGCTGCAGAGGGATCTGGGAGATTTTAAAGCAGCTCGAGATGGATTTCCTGAGCAGGGAAATCATAATAGGGAATAGGGAATAGGGAATAGGGATGGGAGCTGTTCCCGAGCTCCCCCAGTGCCCCGGAGCAGCGAGAAGTGTTTATAAATAAAAGCAAATGAAGCAGCCGCCAGACAAAGCCGATTCCAGGCGAGAGCAACAGTCCCCAAAGGGAAGATTTATCCAAGGTCTTCCAGGAGAGACAATTAAGTGAGGGCAACGCGAGAGAGGCGATAAATCCAGGGAGACAAATGAAGGGCAAGGAACATCAGCCCTCAGCCTCTCCCCCCCGGCAGTTCCAGCTTCCAGCCTCATTTTCTCCTCCAGCAGGGAAAGAAACCATTTTAAAGCGCTCAAGACTGCCGAGAAAAGCTGAGCTGGGGGAACTTCAAACGTGATTTCTGTTGCCTGAGGGCTCCATCCCTCTTTTTTCCCCGGCTGGTGTCTCCCGGTTAACAAGGGCACATCCAGCTCTTCCTGCCCGCTTTGATATTTAATCGGCTGAGTTCCAGCATCCAGGGGCTGCTTTCCATTAGGAAATCCCGGCCCCGTTGCGAGCGCGGCGTTCGTTCCCTGCCGGGAGGGAGACGCTCCCCAGCCCGGCACGGTTCGCCCGCGGCTCTTCGCTGCTTTTGGGGCTTTGCCGGGACAATCCCCGTCCCTCTCCCTCCCCGCCCGGCTGGGATCGTTCCCGGGACCCCGGAGCCGCAGCTGGGCCCGGGGAGGGCGATTCCCTCCCCGGCTGGGGGATGCAGGCGCGGAGCCGCTCGGGTGGATTTTAAGGGAATGATGATCCCGCCGCGCTCACGGGAGCTCTCCAAAGTGACGGAAGGGGCTTTAATCCCCCTGGTTATCCCTCGGTTCTGCCAAGAACTCGCCTTAAATAAACAGCTCCGGCACTCGGAGCCGGAGCCGCGGCGGGTTCTGCACACTGAGGAGCAAAAATGGGTCTGGGGGTGCTGGGCAAAGGGATTTTAGACAAGCTTTGCAAAATTCGGGATGAAGCCGTGCCAAGCAGCTTCCCTGCCTTTGGGGAGCGCCCCCACAACAGCCCCAAAACTGGAGAATCCAACCCCAAAGTGCCAAACCCAAAAGGGGGTGCCCAGAAGAGGGTGAGGGATCCGGGGGGCACGGGGGTCTCAGCATCCCGACTGGGCCTGGCAGATTTTGGGCATCCCATCTCGGGGCCACCCGCTCCTCCTCTGGCTGGCCCCGAGGGGAGGTGACCCGGCAAGGACAGGATTTAATGTCTGAAACAGCAGGGCCTGCCCCCCAAAATTGATATATAAATTTAGCAAAATGTCAGATTTCCTGCTGGCTGGGAGGGATCTGGCTGGGAAAGGGAGTTTCAAGGTGGCCCATCCTGAAAGGAAATCCCCTGGGAGGTGCTCGGCACCCTGAGCCAGCGCTGGCACCTGCATGGCCTCGAATTTGGGGGTGTTCAGTGCCCGAGGAGAGGCAGGAGGAGCCCTGCTGGACAGTGGGGCCTCTCAGGAGTCAGGGTCCCATGAGGTGTCCCTGGAGCTCCTGGCTTAGGAATGTCCTCTGGAACTTTCTGCTCCTGCTCTGCGGGAAGTGCCGGCGCCTTGTCGACCCCGCTCCTCCTGTTCCCGGTTCCTCCCAGCCCTAAAGCTCTGAATTTTGGATTATCCCCCTCCCAGCATCCTGAGGGACGCTCAGGACGGAGCTGAGTCCCTCAGAATTCTCCACACAGTGCAGGATTCCCGTGGATCCGATGGGATCACGGATCCCATCCTGTCTGCAGAGCTCCGGGAGAGGAGCAGGGGGAAGCCAGGCAGGCTGGAGGACACGAAGCCACCCCAGGGCAGGGCGGGTTTGACACCTCAGCAGCTCCAGCAAGGCCAGGATGGGGTTTTTGGGAATAAACCAGATTTTTAAAACCCCCTTTTAAACCTTTCCCACCCCAGCTGAGCGGGATCAGCCGCTCCAGAGCAGCTCCTCCCGCTCTGGGGTCCGGTGGGACAAATCCCTCGTCCCCGGAGCGCCAGGAGGGGCGGCCGTGACCATGGTGGGATCAAGCTGGGACACGTCTGGAGGCCATGGGGACACGGCGGGGACACGGTGGGGACACGGCGGTGACACGGCCACACGTACCCGTCTCAGTGGGACGCCGACATGGACCAGGCGCCCTCCATCCTCCAGACGGAGAAGGCGTAGCTGAGCCTCTCGTGGGCCAGGAAGTTGCAGCTGGTGGCGACCTTGTGGTCCAGCTCGTCGCTCTGCAGCACCTGGCACAAGAAGTCGATGTAGCGAGCGGCCAACTTGAGCGTCTGGATCTTGCTGAGCTTGTCCGAGGGCAGCGTGGGGATGATCTTGCGCAGCTCGGCGAAGGCGTCGTTGAGGGACTGGGTGCGCTGGCGCTCCCGCACGTTGGCGATGACGCGCTGGGCGTGGGCGTCCTCGGGGGGCTGCGGGGCCGGGCTGCGCCGGCTGCGCTTGCCGTGCGGCGAGGGGGCTCCGCCGGGGCCTTGCCCACGCTTGCGGCCGCTTTTCCTGGGTGGCCGCTCGGCCTCGTCCTCGCTGGTGGCCACGCTGCCCTCGGGGGAGTCCGGGGAGAGGTTTTCCTCCTTCATCTCCTCGGCTCGCTGGGCTGCGGAGGAGCCGGCGGTGGCTCCCGAGGCGAGGCCCGGAGCATTCGCCCTCGGGGCTCCCCGGGCGCCCCAAGCCCGCAGAGCCCTCCAAGGAGCTCCTTGGCTTCTCCTTTGGGCCAGGAGAGGAGGGCGCTGGGATGACTTCGGGAACGGCTCCTGCTGATAGGGCGAGCGGGGCGGGGGCGGACCAGGCGCAGACCAATGCAGGGGAACGCCAGCGGCTCTGGAGCTTATGGGTTCCAGATTTCCTCTCTCCCTCCCCACCGCCACCCCGAGCCCTCCGGCACAGATGCTCCGGCTGCCGCCCGGATGTCAGGGACGGTCTCGGTGCCAAGGGAGCCCCAGCCATGGAGCTCAGCGGTGGTTTTGGGGTTTATTTAAAGTGATTTTTCAACCCAGTTGACCTCAAAAAGGAATTATCCCCTTGTTTGGGGTGGAGGAGGAGACTTTCACCTGTGAGGGAGCCAGATGGGGATGTGGAGCCACTGGGGTTGCAATGAGCGGGTCAGGAACTCCCAAAATCCAGAGGAAGAAGCAACCAAAGGAATATCGGCATCCATAGGGATCTTGAGGAAATGCTTTGGTCAAAATGAGCTTGAGTTTGTGTCCATTTGTCCATCTGGCAGGCCATCCATCCATCCCTCCATCCATCCATCCATCCATCCATCCATCCATCCATCCATCCATCCATCCATCCATCATCCCTCCATCCTTCCATCCCTCCTTCCCCTGCCTCCATTCCCAGCATCCCTCATCACCCTCATCTCCCTCATCATCCTCATCTCCCTCACCCATCACCAAATTCCTGTCAAGTAAATCCAGCAGCTCCTGGGTGGAGGAGGAAGGGAAAAGGAAGAGGAAGAAGAGGAAGGGGAAGGAGAAGGGCAGGACCTCTCTGGAAATCCCCCAGGAGGACGGGATTGAGGCCGGATCCGGAGCCTTCGGCTGCCGAGGGCTGAGGAGCTGCCACCAGCTCCAGCTGAGGCTCGGCCTGTGCCTGGCCTTTATTCCTTAATCAATGTGGGTTTTTTTGTTTTGTTTTTTATTGTTTTCCTTTTAAAATAAAAGAAAATTGAATTGAATTTCACCAGGAGAAGGGTTCTGGCCGGGGGAGGGGAGGTTTGGGATCGGGGCTGGGATCCCGGAGCCAAGGGAGGAACACAATGAGCTTTGAAGTGCAGGAAGGAGCAGCCCCACACCCCAAGGGGCTTTTGTCCCCACATTTGGAGGGTCTGTGGCTTTTCCCTCAAACATTTCAATTTGTTCTTTCAGTGAGTGTTTTTCTGGGAGGATATTCATCCAAACTTCTCATGGAAAGGTCACGAGGCACCAAAGTGGTTTCAGTAACTCCTCCAGCTCGCTGGGGGTTTTTCTGGTGCTGCTTTTGACACATCGGGGAAAATTTCAAGCCTTAAAGAAAAAAAAAAAAAAACAAAACCACTCAGCCAAGCCCAGCTTGACTCAGGGAGAAGTCACCGGATGGGAGATTTGAATTCCCGATTCCCACCAATTCCTGACCCCTCTGGACACGTCTCCTCCTGGTTTCCCCTCACCCCTCACATCCATCACCTCCCAGGAGGATTTGGGGGGTTTTTGGGGGAATCTCCTCACAGGGGACAAGGGGCAGCACAGCAGGAAACAGCCTCGAGTGGTGCCACGGAAGGTTCAGGTTGGATTTTGGGAAAATTCCTCCTGGGCAGGACCCTCCAGCCCAGGGCAGGGGTGTGGGTCCCCCTTCCTGAGGGGATTCAAAAGCGGAGGTGGCACTTGGGGACATGGTCAGGGTGGCCTTGGCAGTGGTGGGGAAGCGTTTGGTGCTCTCAGAAGGTTTTGGGTTGCTTTGTTTTGGGATTTTCTTTCCAAGCTCTTTTTCTTTGTTCCAGAGGACAAAAATATTCCCTGTTTCATTTCGTGCAAAAAAAAAAAAAAAAAAAAAAGAAAGAAAGAAAGAGGATAACGCTGATAAACGGGGAAGATGAAAGGGAGCCGGGAATAGCCGCTGCCCCTGGAGGCCGGGAAGCGCCTTCAGACCCGCAGGTTTTTCCACTTACGGCGGCCTCGAGTGGAAACAGCTGCGGGACGGCCAAAAACGCGGAGCATCCGCGCCGCGTGTGGTTTCCACAGCAACCGCGGGAATTCGGGGCGCCGGGAGCGGGCAGGAAGGGAACCCCGCGGGAATTCGGGGTGCCGGGAGAGGATGGGAAGGGAACTCCGCGGGAATTCGGGGCGCCGGGAGAGGATGGGAAGGGGACCCCGCGGGAATTCGGGGCGCTGGGAGCGGGCAGGAAGGGGACCCCGCGGGAATTCGGGGCGC